GAACAGCGAGACGCAGCAAGTGTAAATACCTGAAGATGTATGCCATGTAGTTGTTGCCCGTTCAGATCCCAGATCATTATGAGCCCGTCCGCGCTGCCTGTGGCCATGCAGCGGTACCGCGTGCTGAAGGCAATCGTACATATATCGGCCGTGTGCGTGCCGATCAGCTGGCCACTCTCAACTTCGGCAACCCTATTTGGCGAGTCAGAGGGCAAAGAATAGCGGCAGGGACCGAATTTAGCGGAAATCCCGAGAACGACCACGCGTGTCAACCTGGGAACCTCGCCCTTAGATTGCATGGTCAATACCACGGACGGCAACCGACAGGATATTGACACCAAACGAACATGTCACGCGAGTCAACAAGGGGCCAAACGAAGATATAATCTTTAGGTGGCGTTTGCCGGGTCTCGCGTTCCACTTCCCAAGCAATCGGATTTCGGGAAACAGAATGTAGGCCCACAAATCACACGTCACGTCTCTCCGCAAGCGCACGAAATTTCTTGGTTCATGCCGACCGCAACACCTACCTACCGTCGCACCTATCTTGCCCGAAGTTGATCGCGTTCACCGTTCCGTCGGCGTAACCAACCGCTAGAACGGGGCGCTCGCTCGCAACTCGCACGCAGGTTGGGGCTTCGATCAACCGGAAGGAGAACTGCTCTATAAGGGAAGAAACCGCGAGGCCTTTCAGCACCACCGCACCGTTCGTGTCGTGGCCCACACAGACCAAACGCCCGTCCTGAGCACTGGTTGTAGAAAGCTCGTTGCCGGGATCGACTTCGCTGGGGAGTATGGCACCGTCACTAGAAGCGTAAGAGAATGCCATGTGCACGACCTTAGAGGCAAATACCCCCTCCAGGAAATCAAGCGTCTGTTCATGGTTTGAGCGTGCAAGAGACGTATTAATGCTTCAAGGCGATAAAGTGTCGAACCCAACATATGGCGTACTGCTTTTGTATCGCGTGCGAGGGTGTTCAAGACTCTCCAGCTGTTTGCAACACAACCAAGACCCTGTGTTGAAGTATAAACCGGAACGAAGAACAAAGGGTTGGTACACAGTAAAACCGAGGCATCAACTCAACCGCTTTTAATTGAACCAGAGCTTTTTCCGGGGTTGTCTACACTACTACAAGTAGGTGCTGAGCGAACTGGAAAAATTGTCACGCAATTCGTCGCTGAGCTGCAGTGCAAAACCTGCCTATATGCAAAACTGTCCTCGCCTACGTGCACTTTGTCTCGACTCACCGTTCCGTTGGCAACCGTTTCCACCAAGATTACACCTCCATGCGAAGTCCCAATCGCGACCACTTGGTCAGCTTTCTCTTGTGCAACCTGGCTTGCTTGTTTCCGACGTCCCGTTCGACCGCAGGGCATATTTCGGTCGTTGTCGTCGTTACCTCCCTCGCCGATGGCGTCACCACAGATGGACCGGTCAGAGAAAGGAGCGTCTATGGACGTTTGCGACGGAAGCAAACGCTCAAGTGAAGCCACGACATAGTCCGGAGTTCCCGGTAGAAGGCACATGCTCGTGGCGGTCGCTCTGTTGGCGTGAAGATCGATGTCACGGGAAGAGATCTTCCGGGCCTCTCCCCTTTCAGGGTCGAACGCGTAGGTGTCAAGAACGCCTGAACCGGCGAGACAGATGACCCTCCGCCTCCTACGAGACAGCACGTGGTGCGAATACCGTTCTACTACACACGATAGCGACGGCCACGAGTGGAACAGGGACGACGTCGTGTTGCCCTCATCGAGGGCCACGGCATCTCCATCGCCAAACTCTAGGTTGGATATCTCGCTCTCCGTGCGGTCCAACGAATGCTGGGATTCGTCTGTTCCGGGTGGGATCAGACCGGCCTGGGAGACGCACGTCGTTACTGTGGATGAAACCAAGGTCTTGGTGTTCGTCGCCGGCTGTGTGCCAGTGGTCAATAGCAGCGCCTCGGGCATCAAGCCCCAGAGCCCCTGTTTCATCTCTACTAAAACGAGACCAACATCCGACTCGCGACTCCTGCAATGTGAGCAGAACAGCCAAGGGGGTTATCAGACGAGAAAGTGGCATTCCATTGAAAACACCGTGCCTGGTGCTGAGGCGAAGAACATTTTTGAGTACCCCGATGCATCATGTCGGGTGAAGCCATGTTCTGACCCCCTTTTGGAGGGAGGCTCTCTGTACACGGGAACCAAGAGCGTTGTTCTCTCTCTCGAAATGGGATGCGTGGTAGGTGGTCAGTTGACCAAGGCAAACAACACTGAGTGTGCCCTCGAGAATCTTCCTGACCGACAAATGCGAAGGAATGGCGTAGAAATTTGCTAAAGAATTTGGGCAGAGCTCTAGCAGCAGAACCATGAGCTCCTCGTCCAGCCGTTTTTCTCGAAGGACTCATCACCTTTTCCCGTTCGCGGAAACGCTCGAAGTTTCTTCGACGCTCTGCCCAACAGGAGGGAAGTAGCGGATATTGCGCGCCACGTCCGTGTCAAAGCTCAAAGGATGGCAAACTTGACGGACCAACATAGTCTTGATGCCCCCGTCAGGATCCGCGCACACCAGTCGAGCCTGGCCACCCGATCCATTTAATGCCCAAAGGGACGACACCGCCCATGGCACCCGCACGGTTGTGACCGCGGCAAGTCGATCGACGTCCCAAACGCGCAGGGTGCCGTCCGCACCGGAACTGACGATGTATGAGCTGTTCAAGCAGTGTCGAACAAGGCCAGTGATGCCTCCAGAGTGCCCTTCAAACGATTTAACTAGGGCTGGTGAACGCCCACAACTTTTTCGGTGGGAGCGTGCGCGCCGAAGTCTCTTGTGTTGCCGCCACCGGCCGCGCCGGCTTCGCGTCACTCCGTTCGCGTCAGTGTGCTGGCACGCCCATATCTTCAGCAGACCACCCATGCAACCGGTGACGATGTTCTCGCTTTCACCCACCCACAAGACGACAGTTACCGGAGACTCATGAGCTCTCTTGATGATGTATAGGTTGGTCGTCGCTGCACCAGCATCGTATATCTGTACCTTCATGCCGTCGATCGTGATGATGACTTGAGAGCGCTCGTCGAAGAACATTCTCCCCGCCCAATGCGAGCATCCCTTGAATCCGTGCAACAGCGTCAGCTCGTAAGGCACCACCTCTGGGTTTCACGTCCATGGTACAGCATTGGGAGGGTTACTCAAAGGCCGGTAAGCATTTTTTTCACGAAGAATCAGGCTTGCATAGGCTACACCCACGCACAAACATGCATGTCGAACAAAGTTGAGTAAACGTCGACCATCCGGTAAGTGATCCTGCGTACCTTGTGCGTATGGTTTGAAGGGAGTTGCTGTGAGCCTCCAAACAAAGCAGCCGTCTGAGCCACCCGAGATGATCTCGTCGCGAGCAAGGTTATATTGCAGTTGCAATAGCACCTTTTTCGATGTGGACAGGGTAGCGAGACATCTCATCGTTCTGCCATCAAAGACGACCAGACTGTCGCCCTAGGAAAGGAACGGCCAGGCAAAAAAATGCACACAACGGACGGAAAGGTCACGAGCGCGTGCATTGTCTCATGCTAGGCGTCATGAGCCCAAAACATCCTGGCACAAGTCAACGACGCTTGTTGATTGGGGCACGGGGCACCATCGATGATTGAAAGAACATTTTTCCGTCTGGTGTAGAACCGTTGATGAGGCAGCCAGCCAATGTGTACATGTAAGCGGAAGAGAGGTCATCATCGAGATTCGGTCGAGAAAGACCAAAACTCACCGAGGCGGCAACCACAACATTTTGGGGAGGAATGTACGCAATGGCGTTGATAACGTTGTGCTCCACTCTGGCGGTCTTCACCGAGTCACCATTGCCGAGCTCCAGCCAGCTGTCAATGCTCCTCCCGTCCGTCGATACAATTCGCATCCTGCCGAACGAGTCCTCCCCAGTGATCCGGACCCCCTTGATGCAGTCACTATGCCCTAGATACTCCCACCGGCAAATGAATCCATCGCGTTGCTCGGCATTATCTGCATCTCTCTGCTGGCGTGCGGGGAAGAAATACGGCTTATTGTCTTCGTCAAACTCTCCCGGTATGCCCGGCTCGTCGTCGGTGCTGACGTCGAGAGGACACAACAACATTGATGTATCATCACGGCAGTGAACGGGGGATACGTGCAAGCCCGCAGTACATACTAGGGCAAAGGCGCACGTGTGGCCGACGACGAAGAGCTCGCAAAAAAGGTACTTGCTACAGCAGACAAACCGCCATCCTATTTTTCTGGTATTTTTCTATCGACGGTTTCAGGCCCCACGCACCCGCAGCTGTAGTCGCAGATATTAGTCCGCCGAGGATGCCGGCTATTCTTCTTGACAGAATGTCCAGCAATGCCGTACAGCGCGCTTCCTCAGCATGTGTAATGCTCAAGGCTTAAGCTTTTTTGTTCTAATGGCCGGACAAACAACTCCTGCTCAATCATGTCGAATCTAACTTGAATGACGCCTTGTTTTCGATACATCGTCTACGTACAGCTGCCATGTACTCTCAAATGCTGGTTGCGGAGTGGCTCAGAGAAATCGATGCTTGGGTTCTCACAAAGAGACATGAGACTCTCTTGGTTGTGGGGTAGAGAGAAGATACACAGAAAAGGGTGAGAGAGCAATAGACAACTGCTGTGCAATGAGAAACGCGGATTAGTCTATCGTAGAATACTCAGGCTCTACACTTCCAAACAGGATCCGAACACCTGGAAAAAAAAAAATGAGAGATGACGTGTCCATCCGATTAACGTGTTCACGACTTCAACATGTTCACCCGATCAGAAAAAATGGACAGAAAAAAGTAAAAAGAAAAATCAAGTTTCCCCGCTTCTTGCTGGCGCCAGCAGATCACCCATCACATAAGGCTCCACCTACCCAACCCCATTCTGTAACCTCACGGCGCGTACATCCCCTGCCCTCTTTTGCCGTCTGTGTCCCACGTCAAGTACCACGCGAGAAGCACTGCATGCAATCGAAACCCCCTCTTCGAAAGCCATGGCTGTCTGGGACAAGAAGGAAGGCCTGAGCCCGCAGCAGCACCAGCAGCAGGCGGCGCCGGCCTATCGGTTGCCTTCGGCGTCAGACGCGGTCGCGATCCCTGAGGCTCAGCAGCCACCGTCAGTGGGCGTAGACGCGGAGGAGACCAAGCCCTCGGCAGCCGTAAGTATGCCTTGCGAGGGGGATAGCAAGCAGGAGCTCGACGCGAGTCCTCGCCGAACGGTTCGTTTCCCGCATCAACCGATCTCGGCCATCTGGGTAGCGGACTCCGTCCTTGACTACAACCGGAGGAGCATCGTCGTCGACCTCAGCAAGACGCCGTTCGCCCTCTTCCGGAGGGATGCAGTCATGATGAAGCAGGCCAGGACCTCGGTCGATCCCTCGGCGCCGCTCCCCCCGCCCGGCCCTCCAGCGCTCTCTCCTCCCCAAGTAAGCGCCGCCGCCGCCGCTTGCCCTGCCCCTTTTCCGGCTCCCCCTGGAAGGTCCCCTGTGGGCTCACCTGATGCTGCTGCTGCTGCGGACTCCGATGCGTCACCATCACCGCCTTCTGCCGAGCGCCGCCGCCCGCGCGGCGACAGGCTCGCTAAGCAGTGGGAGTCCGAGTCGAGCGAGAGCTCGGAGGGACACACCGATCTCGAGACGGACGACACGGAGACGGATTGGCACTCGGATGCCGATGACTGCTGCAGCGTCGACTCCGGGACGGAGGAGGCTCCGCCCTGCGTGGTCGTGCAGCAACAGCTCAGGCGCGGGAGCAACTCAGAATCGGGCAGCCCGGCCTTCTATGGCGTCTGGAAGCGGACGAGCTCAGAAGGGTACGAGGAGCTCCTCCTGAGCTCGGGCGTCCCGAAGCGGGCCGTGGCGATGGCCATGAAGAAGCACCCGGTGCATATCATCGATCACGACGGGAGCTACTTCAGATTGATCGTCAAGAACGGGCTATCCAAAGTGGACAACACTTTTTTCATCGGAGACGAGCCGAAACAGGTAAATAGATGCACATGGTGAACAGTCTAGATAAACTATGTACATATCTACGTAGATTCCGAGGCAACGGGGGGAAAAGACCGGCGGGTGTAGATTGCTGCTGCATTAACAGATCAGAAACGCAAAGAACAATGGTATCAAATCTGTCACGGGGTGGAGGTATTCGCAACCGCCCCCCTTGTATTCTCGATTGCGCCGTTGGTTGCTGTTGTATGAAGATATGCCGAGATTGTATTCGCATCCTCGGTCCAGTTAGACTTTCTCGTCTTTTTCTCAACTCGCTCTATTCCTCTTGCTCTATTCCCTTGGCGTGTCGGTCCGTCGTCGTGCGCCATGCTCGCACTATGCTACAAGGTGTTGAGATTGACAGTAGGAGTTTATGTGCGAAATACGTCCCTTGGAACCCTGTCACCAACCCCTTGAGACCATGTGTCACTGAATTGCTTTCATTTTGTCGCCAAGCTGCTCCTGTTTTCTGTTTTCTCGGAACAAGACCCCTTTCACTGGCATACAAATCCCATATGGCTGAATCAAGTAAGCAACTGGTCCCTCGAAGGAAATCAAACGCGTCGCGTTGGGGAGCGGTAGGTAAGCATACTGGACGAGTAGAATAGGTACGTGCGGTAGCATAGCTGCATTTTGGTGATGATATCACGTATCCAGCAAATCCACCCGCGGGCAGCAAACTGTAGACACCCAAATCCTGCAGCGCCGTTGGGTATCGAGCGCTTTCCAATGACACCCCATCCCCCATCCCCGGTGTTGCCCATCGCTCAGATGCTCGACGTCCCCGTTTTGTGGGCGTTCATAAACGTACATACCACAGGTTTTGGACACGATGTCCCTTTAGACTACACCTTGTTTTCCGGCGTGAGCCCCTACTTGTAGATGCCTTCGTGTAGTTGCCTTTTCTAGCCAGCGACCGGAGAACTGTATGGAATCTGTACGCTACATGCCACCGTCGCCTGTGTTTGCGTTGCATAGGGCGGCAGTGTGTGTGTGTGTGTGTGTGTTCGTCCCATCTATTCTGGCTCGGTTTACAGACCTTTCCGCGTATTACCTGGCGTATCAGCAGTAGGGCACACAAATGCATTTCTCTCCACAGGCATACAAACGCGTACCTAAAGACTAGTCTACATAAGAGTTCAGGCCTGTAATGTTCTGTCAAGACACGATACGCCAAACACGATAACTCATCTTCACGAGGCAAGCTATCTATCGAAAGTGTATTTGTTTCGAAAACCCCACCCCCACACGCACGCGTTTAGAAGCATTCACGAATTTGCTCTGTGGTGGTGTACTGGCGAAAGCGACACTGCTGTTTGACCATGATTTGATGCGGTGCCTCCCTCCAATGTTCAGCTTTTGTGTGCGTGCGTTTTCGCAATGCTTGTGCCAGTTCCACCCGCTTCTATATTTCAGCAGTGAGGGCGCAGGGTTGCCTACCGACCGCCTGCCCCTTTTACTCATGTCCGTCAATCCTACGTCGCGCATATTTATTCCGTTTGGTCATGGTTTATTTTTCTTCCAGCGTACATCCTACGAAATGTGACGTCCGCCGCTGGTTGTCAGCGTGCTGTTCTGCGTTCGTGCTTGCTTCTCCCAGACCACATGAATCTGACCGCAATAATTTGTTCCCTTGCTGTGTGCCACGCTAAGCATTTGTAGCTAAACGTGGATGCGCCTCTTTCCGACGTTTGCGGATCGATCCCGCACTCGTCGTTCGTACCTTGACCCACGACAAGCATCAAAAACATGAATATATCCCTTCAAATTCGTACCACCCCGCTCACAAACACAGAATCCATCCCATCTCCTGTAAGGGGGGCTCCTGCACGGGGGGGGGGGGGGG